TTGATACCTTTCTTACTGCTGATTTCTTAATTCCATCTAGCTTTTAAACTTTTAAGAATCTTTGAAAATATCTTTCAAAAATAAAATACACATTTAGAGTTTTGTGCACAGCACATTCCCTGTGAAGAAAAGTTCCAAATTTGTGTTTCTATTTGCATTTCCATAAACACAGAGAATCTTTGTCTGTGCTTATTGTGACAAATCACAGTGTTAGAAACGGGGTTGTTTGGGGCTCTAATTACGCACACGCTCCCATTCCTGCTGGTGCTTTTACAACGTAAAGCAATACAAAACTCGTATTTTGTTCAGGAGCTTTTTCCTTAAAGTTGGTATTCTGATGAATTTTAACTATGGTGGTGGCCTCATTTAATGTATTTAGAATAGCTTTTTTTTTTTACAAAAGGAGGACCCTCCCTGGTGGCTCAGCCCGTTAAAGCGCAGCACTGCAAGCTGGCTGCAGCCTCTTCAGTGCCAGTTCGACCCCCCCCCGCCCCGGAGCTGACCCGCATGGCGCGGCAGACCTCTCCTGTCTCCCCGCTGCCCCCTCAGCCGTGTACTTCAGTAGATCTGCCTGTTCTGCTCCCCGCTCTGTCTCTGGTAAATCCTCTCACCTCCCCTGCACCTCTGGCCTGTACCTCAGCTCTGTATTTGTAGCAGGTACAGGTTTCATGGACTCCGCCCCTACTCCATCCAGATGCTGGAACTCCAAATCCCATCAGTACCAAGAAGAAGCATGCAGGGACGTGAGGGCGGAGCTGAGCAGCCAGGTTGGGATAAAACCAGACATGTGGGCTCTTGGGGTCTCTTGGCCTGGTGGTTCGCAGCTGATCGTTTTGGCTCTCCATCGGTTTTCAGCAGCCGGTGGAGTCCAAGTCAGCAGAACTGGTAGGACATCCTAGTTAACCTGTGTTTCTCTCCCTCTTTCTCTGGGTTATTCCTTTACCTTTCTCCTTATAAATAAATCCATTATTTAACCTTTTGAGTGTGTCCATAAGACAATTGAATCGTAAGCGCACGGGTGAAGACCCACAGACAGGCAACCCAAATCACATTGGGGTGCCCTGTAACATATTCACAAATAAATAAATAAATCTTTAAAAAAGAAACGTTAAAGTGCTCATGCACTACTGTTCCCAGGAAGCAGATTCTGGGCTGGGGATGAGCTTTCAGGGTGTTGGGAAGGCAGAAGCCAGTGGCCCAGCACCTGGGGGAGGAAGGCAGGAACCAGCACTGGGAAAAGTGAGATGAACTTCCAGGCAGACCCAAAACGGCCTCAGCCAAGGCCCCCACACTGTAGTGTTGCCTGAGAGAGCTGGGCTGAGGGCTCAGCCTTTGGCCCCCATGTTGGTCCAAGTTGCTGGAACCAGGTGTCAGGCGTGTCCAGTGGTGTCCAGAGCTGCGAAGGCCATGTGGTCGAGGGCTCCAGAAAAGTCAGGGGTAACAGCATGGAGGGGCAGCCTTCACTCCGAAGGAGATTGGGGAGCCCTCCCAGGGCTTTGGGGCTCGTCTGGCCATGTTCCCATCTCCCTACCTTGACAATATACATACTTAAATTGAAACTTCAGTCTCTCCATTGCACTAACCACATTCTAAACCCAGAGCCCCATAGGGGAAGGTGCAAAACATTTGCATTTTCGCAGAAAATACTGCTGGGAAGTGCTGCTCCTCCCAGCCTGCAGTGTGGGGCTTGCTGGGCCCCGGAGCATGCTGGAGGGAAGGGCCAGTCCTCCTCCCCTGACTGGCCACTCTCTCATCCTTCAGTGGGGGGATTCTCTCTTTAATCATCTCAATCCTTTCTCTTCTATTATGGTTGACAGTGTGTCTTCCTATTCCAGAATTAGAATTAATGGCAACTACAAGTGTTTCATTTCCAGGAGGAGAGGGTGCAGGAGGGGATACATGGTGGGATTTCAGTTAAAGAAAAAGAAGGAAGGCATTATATTTTTGTATTAAAATAACATTAATATCCACAGCTATAGCAGCTTTGGCTATATCTTCTTTAGAAGCAAGAAATCAATTGAGAACAGTAAATGGTGACATGAAATAGATTTTGTAACACAGCAAATGCAACAGTTTAGTTTCAGTCTCCTCCAAGACAAACCAGGTTTGATGATGATAAAACCCTGCTCGTTGGGTGCAACTTCCCATGAGTCACCATCTTTACTTCTTCAGTAAACATTGTGGTTTTGGCTTTCGTTGCTGATTCCCTGATATTCGTAAGTTTTTGTTTCGAAGACTGTAAATCTTTTGTTTATGGAGGAAACAATTTATAACACTTTGAGTCCATTCTCCTTGCCTGGCAGCCTCAGTGCTGTAGTTTTATTTCTAGGATTTTGCTTTGTTTGTTCCTCTGCTTTGCTTTTTATATTCCACACATGAACTAAGTCATTCAATATTTGTCTGTCTCCTGACTTAGTTTGCTTAGCATTATCCCCTCTGGTTCCATCCATATTGTTGCAAATGCAAAGAGTTTGTCTTTTTTATGACCAAGTAGTATTCCATTGTGTGTATAGACCCCATCCTATGTCTTTGGATACTTAGGCTGTTGCCATGACTTGGTTATTGTGAATAGTGCTACAATGAGCTTAAGAATGTAGTTACCTAAACAACTATAAACCAGAGACATGGTATGGTGGTGGAAAGGGAATGGGATAAAAACTGGGGGTGGGAAGAGGGCACGGGACTATGGTGATGACACACAGGTGAACTGGTGGTGGGAAGCCAACAGGGACTACAACTGAGATGGAACAGTGTACAAAATGAAGAATGATGTAAAAAGTAAATTCAAAAAATCTGAAAATAATAATAAAACCAGGTTATCACTGAGGGAAAAAAGAATGTGGTTACCCTCTTGAATTATTGATTTTGTATTTGGAAGTATAGAGATCTAGGGATTGTGGGATCATGTGGTAGATCAGTTTTTAATGTTTACTGTTTTCCATTGCGCCTGGACCGGTCTACATTCCCACCCACAACACACAAGGGTTCCTTCTCCAAGACTGTACCTCTTTTAAAAGTTTTCTGAGAAAACTCTCCTAGCCTTGAAATTTAATATCTGTAATGTAGTACCTGTGGTAGTCATTGTTTGCTTGCTTTTCTTCTGGAGACTCAGCAAAGATCTGACCACTACAAAGTCTATTTATGATCCTTAAAGATATTTTCCCATCAGGCACTTAATACATATAGAGAAGAGTAGAGTTTCACTTTCATTTCTGTAGTGTGCACCTCCTCCACCCCCCACCCCCATGAGGCCTATGGGAAGGAAAGTCAAACTTAGGGTCATGTTCTGTGTAAGGTGTTGAACTAAATCACACACTTCTACATGGGTTGACCTTTTATAAACTATGATAAAAATCATGCAACTGCTCTATCTGAAACAAAGCTTTTTGTATCCCTGTGTAGGATGGTTGCAATCCAGCGGTGGTTAACTTTACGAGCCCTTTCCTGAGTTTGGTGCTGCAGTCTCTCAGACTAGGGTTCATGGCTTCATCATTCATTTTTCAAAGTGTGCATGAAATGAACAGTAGACTAAGCCTCCCGGGGTCCTGATCAATGGAGCATATGACTAAGAATCACTATTCAAATGGGGATGGATTATTAATTAATATTATTAATGTGGTTACTTGCCCAGAACTCCAGTGTAAAGGTCTAATAAAGATTTAAATAATCTGGCTTAGATGAGATGAATCTAGGGATCCTGACTCCTTCCCAAATGCAGATGAACCAGCAAATGGGAGTTGGGGCTGGGACCGAGACCTCAAAGTCCTAGCCTAGTTTACAGACGTGGGCCTTCTATTCTCAGGCAAAACAGAGGGATGATTGCCTCACCTGACAGAGGATTTGCCCTTCCCACCAATGACATGTGACCAGTACATGAGTCATTTTTCCCAAGAGAAAAGGAGCTGTTTAGGATGGAGAGAGGAAAATATACCTGCTCCAGATCTTTCTTCTTAGAAAGAAAGGGCAGAAATAGCCCCAAGCTTGGTCAGTTGACCACAGCAATGTAGGAGAGGAGTTTTGAAACTAGTTCTCTCTGTCTACAAGTAATCCCTGCCTCGTAGGAACACCGGGAGGTGGGGGTTACGTAAAACATGTGAATCTCCCACTTGAGGTAGACATGTGCCCAGCATACTTTTGGGGTGCCGCCCCACACTTCTATCTTAGGGACTTCCCAAGGGAAGGTGCTCAGGGTGAATGGTCCACCGTAGGTTTGTGGAACTGAGTCAACTGGTTTATTTACTGAGACCTTTGCATGCTGGCTATCGAGCTTATTTAATTTAAAAGAAGTCAGAGAAGTACCGAATTAAGACAGAAGGGGACCTTTGTAATCACGTCCCATCCCCTCATTTTACAAACGAAGGCACCAGGGCCCAATGAAATGGAGGCCAGAGAGCCCAGCCGTCAGCGTGGAGTGCTGCTCCCTGGGAGCTCCTTGAGGGCCGCAGCTCAAACCTCCTCTGTACCCTCACACCTCCAAAGGGTGGGGATGTTGTTGCCCTCCAAAAAAAATGTCAATTGAATTAATTCGCCCAATGCCCTTTGGCTAGAAAAGTGCAGCTTGTAGTTTGGCAAGACCATTGTGAACAGATAAACTTGGGATAGCTTCACTGGCTAACTTTAATTTGTGTAACCTCTTCCCATACATAGGGGTTA